AAATTTTCTGAAAGTTACAGCGTGTACAGACATTTCTCAAAAAATTCAAAATTTTATAAAAAATAAATCCTTTCACCGATACTCACCAAATTCAGTAGCAACCATCCTTTAATAATACTTTATCCATGTAAAAAAATTTAACCTGATATCTCAAAATTTGCGAAAGTTACAATGTATACAGACATTTCCCAAACAATTAAAAATTTTATAAAAAATGAACCTTTTCATCGATTCTCACCAAATTCAATACCAACCATCCTTGAATGATACTCTATCCATGTAAAAAAAATTTAATCCGATATCTCAAAAATTGCGGAAGTTAGAGGTTTTACAATATATTGCGTACATACACACATACACACATACACACATACATACATACATACATCCCTGCTTAAAATGGTGGGTAGAAAACGATAGAAAAACTTCGCTATCCGAATCGTTCGTGATTTTGAATTCCCTATTCTACACATTGTTTCAGTAGACCAGCAATGCAAAATTATGATAAATTTACCATATATTGATTATTCTTTTCTAATGTTTTCCAATACGAATCAAAAATATCAATATATTAACCAATAAGAAGATTTATTATGCATGATCTATGCAAAGCTATATTATTCTATACATATATCTCTGATAAATCTTATTATGTTTTTCCTATAGTAACCAATATTAATCTTTTATAAAAAATAAATATTCGTGAATGTGAATCTATATGAAAATTTATTAATAGCAGTTTAATGATTTCAATACTATTACATACAAACATTATATTATATTCTATAACATTGTTCAAATTTTCATGTTATCCTATCCAAATAATCAGCATTTACACATGTTATTCAATGATAATTTATGAAACACAATCATTTATATATTTCAATGTGATACAATCCAATTCATACAAACTCTATCTGAATTGAATCCTGTAACATCCTATTCATCAACTCCCTCTGCTATTCTATAAGTTTAATGAATATTTATATATATGAAACAATATTAAAATTTGTTATATTCAGTTTATCTGTTTCAATACAATCCAATATACAACATGAATTGAATCCTATAATATTCTATTCTTTAATTTTCTTTGCTGTCCTATAAGATTAATATTTATATATGTGAAACAATATTAAAATTTCTTATATTCAATCTATCTGTTTCAATACAATCTAATACAACATGAATTGAATCCTATAATATTCTATTCTTCAACTTTCTTTGCTGCCGATTATTATTCAGAAAAAATGACAGAGAACACAAAATATTCTCTCACGATTAAATATGATAAATTACCATTAAAAATTCCATGCAATGTTTTCAATGAATTCAATTCAATGAGAGAGCCTTTATTTTTACATCTTTTGTCATAAAATGTCGGATACGTTGCAATAGTTTCAATTTCATAAATGTATTAATTCGGATAAATTTTGATAATTTTTTCATTGAGAAACTGTTATTGAATCGGTTAGCATGTGCATTTCTTACTTTCATGGTAGATATACATAGATTACTAATCAGAAAAGAATAATAAAGAACACAAAATATCAAATTATGATTAGTAATGATAATTTTATTATGTGAATTCTCACACTAAAATCTGATAACTACCCAGAAAGCAAAATGCGCGCAATATGCCAGCAGATTGACAACAGATTTCCTCAGTTCTTGCTAGCAATTTGGCATCTGTTATGTCCGCATTGGTCTAATGATCTGCCAGCAGAGCCTGCTCACAGAATCTGAGATTGGCAGCAGAAACCGAGCAGGATCTGCTAACATGATTTGACGTCAGATTGATGGCAGGAACCGAGCAGAATCTGCGCGCGCGCAATCTGTAACAAAATTTTCTTTTATTAAAAAGTTGTGCTTATTGAATTCTACTAAAAGATAAGTGAAAAAGATGTAAGAAAGAAATAAGTGGCCTTAAAAAATATCTTTAGTATTATTCCAGCGATGAAAATTGATATATCGTTTTGCTTAAAATAAACATATTCAAGCTAAATTATATTATACAACTTGGAAACAACTGAATCATAAATTTCATTGGTGTATAGATTACATTTAATTTATATATAGTATTATAGATTAGATATTGATGATTTTGTAAGGTTACACCTTACCTAGTGTTATATGGTAGGTGGGTTAGAGGCTTTGTAGGTTGCGCGCGCAGCGGCAACTGCAAGTGTGATTGGCTGTTTGCCGACTACAGCGCCGGAGTGTGTGTGAGCGGTGTGAGAGAAGCGAGGAGCGCGTGCGGACGCCATTCGGTGTTTGTCCTTCGAGTCGTTAAGCGATAGCTAAGCGTTTTCCATAGAAGGTGTTTTGTTCGCGAATACACGACTGTTCGTAGACTAGACCCGAAGAGATTTGTATCCGTTAGTGCATTTGGTAGAATATATTCATATTTGAAGTTATTTACCAGCCACGGAGTATTTTCCGGTGACCATCATTCTCAAGAACAATCCTTTCCGTTAGCCTTATTCCCGGCATCTCCCGACTTTCTACGCATCCTTAACTTTCTGCGGTTAATTCAAATAACCGCTTAATAGCCAGGAAAGCTATTATAATTTAATAAAATTTGGAGACTTACATTTTTCATACATCGATCAAAACCTTTGCCGTTTATCGCTCTCTCGATGAAGGTGTGCACCAATTTCGCCTTTTGCGACATGATCGATTCCCTTGGATTATCTTGGACTTTATCTTATATCTCTTTTAATCATCACATGCACGAAATTAAATAGTACATACTCCCACGAGAGGTTAATAGCAGAGAGAAGCCTGAGAGCGACCATCCCAGCGTTTTTCGTACGATAGCTTTCGGTCCCGTACAGCAGCGCCTCTACGTCCATTTTACAGTATGTGAATCCCCTTTTAAGTTAAAATTATCATTTAGCATTGCTTTTTATGATTTATACTTTTTGTTTTAAGAATGGGAAAGGGAAAAACTATATATATCTGCAATCGGTACGTATATTTAATAAAAATGCAATATATAAAATATACGAAAAAAAAATTAATTATTTCTTTTTTTACAGATGTTTACACTATTTTGGATCCGACGACAAGTTGCAATCGCACAAAGGACAAATGGCTCAGCTTCGACAACTACAACAGAAAGGAGCGGCTTCCATTCGTCGTATACGCCGACTTGGAGTGCGTGCTGAGGAAGACTGACGGTGATCCGATGACGTCTACGTACACGTTTCAACATCATCAAGTATTTAGCGTAGCTTGTTATATACATTGTTCGTATGACGAATTGTTATCCGCGTATCGTTCTCGCCGCAGTACGGACTGCGTTTCGTGGTTCGTGGAAAAATT